TCCCAACATAATTGTTCAAGGAGATGTATCTTCGATAAAAATATAACTTTTATCAGTAAAATCATTTTTTAACATTTTTTTATCTATAACTTTTGTATTGAGCCAGATTATCCAGTCAAGCACTAGGTCACTCCAAGTCATGCCACTAGCTATTTCTCATCTAGTTTTAGGGTATTTCTGAAACATCAAATAAAAGATAATGACCAGTTCGTAATAACCAATTCTACTAAGATCCTAAAAGATAGAGAACGATGGAAGAGAAAAACAAAAGGAAAAGAGAATGCTAAAATGGATATTCAAATATCAATTAAACGCGCCTTAATACATTTATTCTCCCTATATTTTTTTAATGTTATGTTTAATTGCATATTGAGTGTCATTCATTTTAAAATTCATTGTTGAATATTTCTCTCTTTCTCCATTTTTTCTCTCCCTATCTCTATCAATTGGTATTAGAGACCGCTTCTTCTTATTAGGGTTTGAGTGGTGCTCGAAGAAATTAGATTGAGGACTAACCTTCTCAACCAATGAAGGGAGTGGAGAAAAAGATAAAATAGCATAACAAAAAGAGAAGAGAATGCCAAAATGATCACTCAAATATGTGCCTCGATACATTTTCTGTCCTTGAATGATATTGAATTGCATATTGAGTTTTCTTCTCTCTAATTTTCTCTCTTGAATTTTCGCTACTAGAAAAATTATAATTAGCGTCGTTATGAGCATAAGCGATGTCAAAAAAAAAAAAGAGAGAGAGAGACGGTGGCAGAATGATAAATAAATTGAAATTTTTTTAAATTACTTACGTTGGTTTTGAGAAAACCGATATCTTTTATGTTTTAACGTTACTTAGCAAAGTAATTGATGTTAAAACCAGGCCTTTGACGTTGGTAAGAACTTTTAAATTCCTAATCTTCTGCCTCTTTGTTTTCACTTTTCACCTTCTTCCTTTATCATCTTTTACATTGCAGTGTGTTCTTTCCCTGTAAACGCTCTAGTTTAATTTGTTGCTTCTCACTGATATTTCCTCATGATTTTTAGCCAAAATCTTTCGTCAAAGGTGCCGTCAACTTGTTCTCCGTCGTCTAAGTTGTTCTCCATCGTTTGTAGGTGTGTTTCTCTTCTCTCTTCCAGTCGACGCTTCATGTTGTACATATGGGTCTTTGGTTGTTTGAAATCTTGAATGGTTGATATTGTGATTTTTCCTTAGTATTGGAGACATGATTTTTACAGTGTGTTTGTAGTTTACAGTTTTTAGATTGTGTTTTATGCGATTTTTAGCTTCTTGTGAGTATAGATTAGATTTTCTTGTGGTTATTGGCTTAAAAAACTTAGTTCTTTGCTTTGGTATACTTGAAATAATTGTTGGTGGATGAATTTGTGATGATTGTTTATATTATAGTGTTTTTTGTTATTTTGACTCTTTTTTTAAAAAAAAAATTTGGATCTATTTTTCGTTTGAGGAATGTAAATACTATTTCGGGGAAGATTTTGTTCAGGCAAAAAGTTTGATAAATAAGAAACTTGTTTATAAAATCTCATGGCAAAAATATTTTATTTGAGTTATCATTTTAGATTTAGAATTATTACTTGTATCAATTGGTACCAGAGCATGTCCCACAATACTTTCATCAATCAATTTTCAAAAGCCTCACTTTTGTCATGAAAAAAAAAAAACTCATTCTATTGATCTCAACATTTCATCCCCATCACAAAATCTTGTCATCACAGGAATCCCTAAAGAAGCTCCTGCTTGGTCATCCAACTCTCATGAAGTCTCATCAACAACTTTACTTGAGGACATTTCCTTGGACGAGAAAGAAATGATAAAAATACCAAAAAGAAGAAAATAAAATTGCAAGGATTTTAAAGATTTAAAATTTCATTTTAACATTTAGAATATTTTGTATTACTATTTCTTGTTGCATTTATTATTCCTATAGGATATTGTTATTATTTTGGTTATTTCAAAATATATGTATTTGGTTACTAAACTTTGAATATTCAGCATTTGATTTCTAGATGCTAGGATTAAGGGTAATGTTGTCAAAATCGCGATTCAAAACATGGAATGATCCGATTTTACAAACATATATCATCATTTTTGGTTAAATCTCATCTAAAATTGGAAATATGAAAAATCGCACTCGACTCACTTAAAAACGTAACTTTTTGATAAAATCATGAGTTTTATTTTGAGTTTCCGAGATTGTATCCAGGGTAAAATAATTGAATATGTTACTGTCACTGCGCCAAAACTCCAGAAGCCTCATTTTTTTTCAAATCATTCTTTGACTTTTCAAAATACTGCAAAAGCAAAAATGCAGCAATATGGCTTTTGCTCTTATTTTATTTCAGTTTATTGTGATAGTTTTATAAATTAGGATGAAATTAGTGGATGTAAGTTTTTATAATTGTCTTTATTTTTTCTTATCAATAATATATAAACATTTATTGTTAAATTATAAACCATTTTTAATACAAAAATTTATACATAATTTATAATAAAAACATATTGTAATATTATGGTCTCTACTTCTTCAAAAACATTGATACAAACTTTGGCATCAATTTTAGCGAATACTAGATGATATTTAATTTTTAAATCAGTCCAGTAAAAATTTTTTCCCACAATAATCAAACTTTATGCAGTGGACATCGTGATGGTGAATAACTAGAAGACAATAGAAATGATAATAATTTTATATTTGATTATCTCTGTTAAATTTATAGTTATTTTTTAAAATTTGATTATGTTTAGTGACTTGACTTTATATATGAAATTTATAGAAATTTTTATATTAAGTACTTATGATAAATTATGAAAGTTGATAAGTTTAGTTTTTCGGTGATTTGGATTTAAAATATATTTAAATCAAATTATTTTTGTATTTTAATTATTTAATAATATATTTTTACTAGGTAAACTCTTACAAGTTTACAATCTGAGTTTTCGATTCGAATCTACATCTTTGTCACAAATTTGCTTAAACTTGTGAGTTTGACAACCGTGGTTAAGAGTTTAAAGTTATAAATAACTCTCAACATATTTTATTTGCGCTCCTTTAATTACGAAGGGAATAATATTAATGTTTAAATACTTAATAATTGTTGTCTATTTAAGATCGTTAAATTTAATTAGAAGATAAGTATGAGTTTTAAAAAAAAAATTTAAACTTCTTTGGTTGACTTGAAAAGAAAGAACTTTCTCAAAAAAATATAAACCCAACCGCTACCCTAATTGATGGGGCTAGACATGGGGCGCACTCAAAACAAAGTAGTAATTTTAACAAATTCAAAAGTTTGTGCAGACATGATGATACGTCTAAAGATTATCATTGAAGTGAAATCTGAACCAACTCAAACCTAAATCGTTGAACACTTCACACCTTCAATTAAAATGGTTAAATGGCTTTACCAAACAGCCCCCTCCCCCCTCCCTCACAGTAACACCAACTTCATTCATTAACACACCAACTGGCTCCAGTAAGCCTCCACGTGTCCCGCTCCCCGCGTCTTTGTCCATCATATGGTCTTCTGCTGGTGGGTCCTTTAATTAAATACGATGACTTTGTACTCATTAACGTTTTGGGAAAATAATATCCACTATCTAATCGTACAGCAATATGTTAGATCCAAAAAAAGCTGGGTGGCTTAGTTCAGGGGGGTTTGAATATATACTTTATTAAATTATTGATTGATTAATTATAGTATATTATTCATGTTGTTCTGTTCATTTTGTAGGGGGACCTTGCCGCGAGCACGTACTTGTTCTGATCCCCAATCTGGGATTCGGATTCATTAATATATGAGAGAATTACACAGAAGGATCGTTTGAGAATAGCAAACATAATGGAGGACCACAAAACTTGTAAAACAACTGAAGAAGCCTAATTATATATAAATTTTATAAACTTAGTTTTAAATGAACTTATGGAAGTTGGGTTAAGACGAAGCAATTGAGATATATATATATGTATATACTCCTCCGGTCCTTAATATAGGACCCAATTTTTGGGTTGGTTTTGATCCTAAATATAAGACTCATTTATCATATTTATCAATTTTTCTCTAAATTATCCCTATAGATACTCTCCAACCATAATCAAGTAGAACAGAGAGAGGATATTAAAAAAGATGATTGTGGTGTTTTAGGAAAAATGTGTCACATTTCTTATAATTAACTAACTTACCTAACTTTCTTAATCTAATCAAATTTGTTAAATAGGTCTTATATTAAGAACAGGAGGAGTAACTTAGTGACACCATGCGGCAAACCACCTTTATTGTTTATTACTGATAAATAATATTCTTGTCATAAATATTAGAGAAAACTAACAGAAAGAAAGAAGTGTGGGAGAATTTCATAAAAATACTTTTAAATTTTTAAATTTAACATCATTTTTATTTACTATACTTTAATAGCAATTGACAATATATGAAAAGTAAATGAGAACACATTTTTATAGTCATTTTTAATTTGAAATTTTAAAATTTTAAAGATATTTTTTGAGATTTTTTTCAAGAAATTTCTAAGTAAAAATTTAGTGATGAAAGTCACTTAAATCAAAATATCAACTCTGTGGTTATAAAATTTGCGATACTTTTTTTTGCGTGTAGTATTTATCAAGTCTTTCTCATTCTTTAGAATGTCCTAAATTTTATTATAGATTAATTATATTAATATAATAATATTTTTCATATTAATAAGTATTTTTAAAAAATAGATTGCACAGAATATGGGTTGTCAATATAAAAAAAAAACTAATTATGCAAACTGGCAGTGGTGGATGGCAATAAAAAAGAGGGAGTTAAAAAGATGAAGGAAGCTTCAGCTCAAAAAAAAAAAAAAAAAAGATGAAGGAAGCAAAGCATGCATGATAAATACGCGCATAGTAAGAAGTAACTGTCACTCACCACTGGGCAGACACAAACATTCCCAAATTCCAATCTTTTTGTTTTGGTTATGTCTTTCTCTTTCCCTTTTCTCTTTTCTCTGTTCATGGTGGCCTCCCCGCCTGCTCATCCCCAATGAACTCCTCCCCTGGGTCCCACTCTTCGGCGATAACCCATCGCCGCAAACACCGGAATTCAACACTCTCCGCTCTCCTCCGCCGTCACTACGGCGTCCTCCGAAATGATCCTTCCTTGCACTGCAACCTTCACAAGAAGAAAAGCTCCCTCACCGCCGGTATGAGTTCCCCTGTGAATTTCCGGCATGGATTTCCCAAACCCCAGCTATCAGCGAGGAAGCTCGCCGCTGGATTGTGGCAGCTTCGATTTATGGAGCGTTCAGGGAATTATGGCGGTGAATCTATCGGTGATGGGTCGGTTGGTTCGTCCAAGTCTGAGGTATCTGAAATTTTCTTCTTCTTTTTTTTTTTTCTTTTCCTTAGCTGTGTCTTGATGTGAATTTGAGAATATTCTGTTGCTGGGCTCTGTGGTTGCTGACTAGAAAAGAAGGCGAAGGAAAGCAACTGCGTTTTGCTTTTCATTTCTTTTTCCCTCCTTTGAGTCTTGGAATTTATCTGATGCTTGGCTGAAAGCTTTTAGAAATGATAGAACCAGGATAGAATATCCTGTATCATTTTCTCTAGTACACTTTGTTCATGATATAGTTCATGCTTGTTGTTTGTGCAATGGCTAACTTCCAGGTTTTCATCTGACACGAGTCTGTTAAAAAGTGAACTGGTTTATTATTTTAAGTGTGCTGATCATATAGAGGAGGTGATCCAAGTTTAATATGAAGCTTAACTTAGAAATCATCATGTTACTTCTTTTTTAAGTTCAACTTTTGGGTAATTGAATTAATGTTTTGTCTTGCTCCTCCACTAATGTCGGGAATTCTTTATCTTGGATTCCTAATATTTTTGCTATTTGAAATGGCCTACTTCTTATGAGCCCTGCGATTCAGTTCTTTCCCTTTTAAACTCAAATATCAGCCATTATTTTATTGATTAAAGTCAATCTCAGTCGTTCCTCCATCAAGTATATGTATATAACCGAAGCCAGGAAACTAACTGATGATCAAGGATCTGAACTCTGCAAAATTGATGCCAATCCTGAATTAATTCAAAAATGCCATCTGCCCATTGTTATATTGTGATTCATTATTTGATCCTTTCCAATCAGCATCTTAAATAGAACTTTATTTGGATTTGCCAATGAAATGTTGACCTGGTGGTCCCTGGCACCTCTTCGGATCCTTAGAGTATAATCAGAAGGCTTGGTGTCAGAGTTAGGTCTCTATCATTGCCTTCTTAAAAGAACAAACTTATTTATAGTTATTGGCTATGGTTTTTCACTTCTTGTTTTTAACAACTTCTGCCCTTGAGTCATGTTGACATCCTGCACATGTTTTTTCCTTTAGCTAGCTAATGAGAATTTGAGAACTGAGCCTCCCACTCATCATGAAACCAGAGATGAATTTGAGAAGACGAAAGATCCCCCATCGGATACTATCTTGCATTCAAGAAATGGAATTCAACATGAGGTATACAGTTTACATACTTATTTTTGCTTCAACTTTGAACAATGTAAAGAAGGGGGAAGCACTTTAATCAGTTCTATATATCTATCCCAGATTGATGATTTGAAAATGAACTTGTAAATGGAAATTGATACATGTGACCTATTGATTCAGTGATATTCATGAAAGAGAAGACACAGAAACCTTGTATTTCTTCTCCCCATTAATGACAGTATTGAGACAGTAATTCCTAATGGCGATTTTTGTTCTCAGCTTGAATCGTGGGCTCCATATCTCAAGTGTTGTAAGGAAGAGGCAACAAAGTGGGATACTGATCTTCCTGAAGGGTCCGATGAGTTCACTCAGATTCAGGGTAGTAAACACAATGAAGAGAGGAATTTAGCAGGTGACTCAATTGTCTCAGCTCTTCTAGCAGAACTACTTCAGGCTCAAAGGTGCATAAATAAGCTTAAAGCTTCAAGGAAGTCCTCTAACAAAAGGACACAAAAATTTGTTCGGAAGTTTGAGAAAGAAATGATATTTTGGAAGCAAAGAGAACTCCAAAAGTTTCAGTCAATGTTAGAAGAGGTAAAGGATAAACTGGAAGGGGAAAGGAGAAGTAAGGAAAGGATGGAGCTGATGAATGCCAAGTTGTTGCACAAGTTGGCTGAAGCGAACCGATATGCTAAGCACTTCAAGAAGAAGTTTGAGGAAGAAAAAAGAGGCAGAGAGTTAATGGAGGAAGTGTGCAATGAATTAGCCAAGGAAATAGGAGAAGACAAGGGCAGGCTTGAGGAGTTGGAGATGGAATCCATAAAGATCCTCAATGAAGTGGAAGAAGAGAGAAACATGATGCAAATAGCAGATCTTTTGCGTGAAGAACGAGTTCAAATGAAGCTATTCGATGCAAAACTTGCACTTGAAGATAAATACAATCAGATGATCCAGTTCTTTGCTTTTCTGCAGAATTCCCTAAGATCAGAAGCCACAGCTGAGCTAGCCAAAAACCAACACATTGTGGAACTTTCATATGATTTCTTAAAATTTGATGATATCTTTTCCATTTATGAAGAGCTCAAAAATGACAAAGGTCATGAGAAAGTGATCAAACCATATGAACATGCCCCAGACAACAGATCACACTCATCCTCTGACTACAACACAGGGTTAGAAGTTGTCAAAGTCAACCAAGAGGATAATGTGATAAGAAGCGTAGCAGAGTATGGTAAAAATGCTTACTTGGAATCTCCTGAGACAGAAGTTACTGAGATATTAAAGAGGAAGGCTTCTTCTAGCTCTAAGTTAAGGCCATGCATAACTAATGGAACAACTAGTACCGTAATTGCAGGGGTTTTGTCTTCAATGGAAGGTTCAGGATTGGAAGGTGGCTTCAAGAACTGGGAATCAGAAGCCATAAATCCGCACATAACTCGTGCTATGAAAGGTTGCATAGAATGGCCAAAAGGTGTCCCAAAAAGTAACTTGAAGGCTGTGTCTTTAGACGCAAGAGTGAGAAGCCAAAGGTCACAATTGCAACACATCCTTAAGTCCAAGGCTTAGAAATATATTTGTTTGAGAGGAATTAAACAACATTGGAAGGGAACACCACAAATTTTTCAAGCAACTTCTTGTAGTGGCAATTTCTTGTTGGAACCGCCTTGGAGACATTTCATGCACTCATGTTTTACGATATTTATTGATATATGATTATTCGTATAAGGAAATCAAGTTTTGGTAATTGCAATGTGGCTATATTGATTTGTTTTTGTACTTTTTGTTTCAAAATTTTCATTCTATTCATGTTTCTGCAATCCAATTTATATACTCCTCCAGTCCTAAATAGAGTAATTAATTAGTAAGTTGGTTTTGGTCTTTAATGTAAGACCTTAATTCATTATGTCTATCATATTTATTATTTTTTAAAAATTAATTTATCTAACTTATAAGTTGGTATATAATCTAATATCAGATTATGTCACATTTGTTAGAATTAAGTAATTTATTTGAAAAAAATATATTGTAGGGAAAGCAGTGATGACAGCCTCTTAAACTGTTAAGCTCTTTCAGAAAATTAAATTAAAGTAATTTATATTTTTAACCACGTTGTGGTGGGCGTGATGGTTAGGCATCTTGTCCCTTAAGCAAGTGGTTGGGGGTTCGATCCCCAACTCTTGTGAATGGAAAGCACCCCGTGGCCAGTTCCTTACTACTTCGTGCGTCGACCCAGGGATGGGGGATTAGTCTCACTACTATCAACGGTGGGGATACCCTGGAGCAATAAGAAAAAAGTAATTTATATTTTTAAATCATTTAGATATATATATTTGGGTATTAAGCAATGAAAAAAAAAGGGACCGGACCGGCCCGGCCGATTCAACCGGAAAACCGGTGAACCGGTCCTTGGTCCAGTCTGGTTGAAGGAAAAAACCGGCCTATGACCAAACTGGAAAAAACCAGGTTCAACCGGGCAACCCGCCGGTTGGATGGGTTGTCCGGTTTAATGATTTTAGTCCTCCTGTTGTTCACGAAGGCAGTCGTCGCTCTTGAGGCCATCTGCGTCTCTACCATTATAAGAGCAAGAGGTGATGACCGAAAATCCAAAGACTCCGACAAAAGAGAGGGGCAGTAATTGAGGAGGGAAAAAATAATTGGAGGAGACGAAGAGTAGAGAATGAAGAAGATACCTCACGGTGTTGAGGAGGTGGTGGGAGGGTTGAAATAAGAAAGATAGAAGCGGCGGTGGGGGAAGTGGAAAGAGGAAGAAGAGCAAAATGAGGAGCTGAGGATGAGGACGGAGAGGTGAGCGGAGTGAGAAAGTAATCTAAGGAAAGGAAGTGAAGGGACGATGGGCAATTATTTTATTATTAAAAGAAGGAATACACAACTTGTAATTTCAGAGCAAGCACGGCAGTCCAAGTCTTCCAGGTCTTTCCTTTGGATTGGTTGCTTTTTTACTATGGTACTTGATGGAGTGATTGAGGGGTAAGCCGTATGGAGATTAAAAAGGGATGACTGCAGAGCAATGATTCAAAGGTGGCCCATACAAAAAGCAAAAGAAAGTTCCCAAAAAAAAGAAGAGTAAAATTTTTTTTAGAGATTATTATTTTATCTTGTTATTATTAATTAAATTATATTATTTTAATATGACCGGTCCGACTCCGGTTAGACCATTAACCTTTAACCCACTATCTTGACTGGTTCATTGTCCGGTCCGGTTTTTTGTTCCTTGATATTAAGGACCATATGTCCAAAATCGTAATTGTGGAAGCTCACTTTTTCTCATGGACTGCCTTGGCCATTATGGCTTATGCCCCATGTCTTTTAATGTCTTTTGAAAGCTTTGAATCTTACTGTTAACCAAGATCTGTGCTAAATTACTATTACCTCTCTTTTTTTAATATAAGAATTAGTTTGACTTTTAATTTGATTCTAAATATAAAATCCTAATATATTTTGTCTCTCATTTTTTTTAAGATACTTCTTATAATAGTTACACAAGTTAAATGTTTTATCAAATGGCAGTTGCAATTAATACACATGATTAGTAAGGATATTTTAGGAAAGATAATATCTATATATTACAAATAACTAATTTAATTAATTTTTTTAATCTACTTAAATTATTCAACTAACTTTTATATTAATAATTGGAGGTAGTATTTGGTTAACATCCAGCTTACATCTCACAAAAAGGTCGGTTTGCATCTCTTTAATTTAATTAAGGCATATATTATTGCATTATAAGATTTATAATGCATATATTATTGCATTATAATATTATTGAGTTATATATATTATTTCATTATAAGAGAAATATTTTAAACCGTTAAGTTCTTTCACAAAATTAAATTAAAGTAATTTATATTTTTAAAACCTTTTTCTTTATATCATTTTTTTGGGTACAGTATCTCATCCATATTAATGTGTATATACACAGACATATTAAATGGGCCTGATATGTCCAAAATCGTAATTGTGGAAGCCCACTTTTTCTCACGGACTACCTGGCCCTTATGGCTTACGCCCCCGTCTTTGGATGTCTTTTGAAAGCCCTGAATCTTGCTGCCAACCAGAATCTGTGCTAAATTAGTATTACTTTCGTTTTTTAATATAAGAATTAGTTTAATTTTTATTTTAATTTTAAATATAATATATCAGTTTATTTTATCTCTCATATTTATCCATCTTGTTCAAGGTAATCCTTTTAGTAATTATAGAAATTAAAGGTTTCATCAAATGGTGATTTTAATTAATACACATGATTAGTAAGGGTATTTTAGGAAAGATAACATCTATTTATTACAAATAACTGACTTAAATAATTTTTATAGTCTACTCCTTAACCATCTAGTTTTTATATTAAAGACCAGAGGTGGTATTTGATTAGTATCCATCTTATATCTCACAAAGAGGTGGGTTTGCATCTCTTTTGATAATGTGAAAATTTCATTGATAAGTAATTTTTAAATAGTTTTATAAATTCTTTTTAAACTGCTGGCAAAAGAACAGTTCAAGCCTTGTCTTCTTCAATGATTGACTTCACCTGAACTTTCAAAAAAACCAGATGAAAAGAGTTTTAAATCTTTTCACCCAAAAATTTCTAAAACTAATATATGCATTATAAATCTTATGATGCAATAATATATGCCTTAATTAATTACTTATATATATTATTGCATTATAAGAGAAAATATTTATTATTGTTAAGGGAAAGTCATTTACAATCTTCCTCTTAAATTTTCTTCCGAATTTTTGACTTTGCTAAAAGTGAATAAGAATAATGAAAATAAACACTAGGAAAAATATATCTTCTACTCCATGAACTTCATCTAAATTACCAATTAATCAGTCCCTCAACTTTAACTCGAAGTGTGTTATTAATTGGAGTAAAAAAAAAACTATAGAAATTGTGTTGCTTTATGTTGGTTTTAGTTAAAGTTTAGGACCTAAATGGATAATTAAGCAAAACTCAAGAACAAAAGTTTTTCCCCAAGTATGATATATTCAAAAAGAAAACGACAGAACAAATAAGGTAGTGGGGATAAGTTCCCTTTTTCCTCCTTAAAAAAAGGAAGTGGGATTTCATTGTTAAGTGATTCACAAAGATGTGAAGTTTGATTCCTAAGAGAGGTTAGAGTTATATACACACACAAACATATATAGGATAAGCATAAACACAAGTAGGTATTATATTATATATCCAAAAGATGATTAGGATGATGATGGTGAAAAATCAAGGAGGAAATTAAACATCTTTTATTATTGTAGGCCATGCCAATAATTAGTCACACTTCCCATTAATAGCCAGTTACATTGTTGATTTGATCTGTCTCCTGGGACCATATTCTTGGCAAAATCAATATTGTGTAAGCTGGGTCCTTTCAAATTTTCCAAAAAAAAAAAAAGTAATTTTCTTAAAAGAAAGGAAAAGAAGAGAAAATGAATCCATCCATAGGTATATAAATAATTTAGAACTTTCTGTCATTCTCTTGCTGTCTTGGATGTTGCCCATATCCCATCGTGCTACGTATGCATGGGGGTGACCACTTAGCTTTTTTCATATCAGATAATAAGAAACACACAAACAAATTTGCTTATCATCAAACAAAGTCCAGTTGGGTGCATTGTGGTTGGGTCAAATCAAAAGTTCAAATCTGGAAAATAAGAGGTTTATTCATCATTAACTGCAAATGATGAATAAACCTCTTATTTTCCAGATTTTTTATACTTAGTCCGGAAAAATTTTGTGTCTGTGTGTATGTGTGTAAGAGTGAATCAGTGAAGATGTTAATTTTTGTCCCTTAATTAATTCGGCCCTCTCTATCTGTTAATCATAATTAAATTAACTCCAAATGGTGTCTCACTACTGTCTCATCAAATAACATGCATGGGAGAAAAGTGTGCGTGTTTGGCTAACTGCAGATAAGCATGTTTCAAGCAAAACCAAGGTTTTGTGTAACTTTACCCAAACACCTAAAAAAAAGTGATTAATTAATGAGTCAGAAACTATATGATTTGGAGATAGGCAAAATCACAGTTTGGGAGAAGCTGTGTTATAGTTAGTATGTGATTTCTCTATCATTCACACCACAGAAGCACACAGAAGAAAGAGGGAATCATAGGTCAGGTCAGGCCTCTTTCTCCTCAAAGCAGAGGGACCAAGTCTCACAAACACCATCGCCTGTATTAAAATTATATGGTTCTCACCATTCCTAGAGATATGAAGGCTGAGATGCGTTATATTGTATCTATGGTATATAATTTGAATATATTATCATATATATGTCGTTAATGGATCAGCGTCTTACGAATAAGTTGGTGAAAACTTTGAGCGAAAAATTAATGCCCTAGCTGTAAATGTCGTATATCAGATTATATTCACTTATTCTGCAAAGTGAGTTTTATCTCCGTGTCACCAAAAGTCAGTTTGAAACTAAATATTAAAAATAAAAGATAAAAATTGATATTATAATTAAGAAAAATTATTAAAATAATATTTAGCATAAAGAATTGTTCATTACATAACATTAAGTAAACCCATAGCGATGGGAATGGAAGTC